AATAAAAAAAAAAAAAAAAAATTAAAAAAAAAAAAAAAAAAAAAAAAAAAAAAGTCCTCAAAATTATCTTCCATTGAGTTTAATTTTTTCACATCCCCTGTTTTTCAGGGAAAGAAACACTGTTCTCACCATTACTACAGACCAATGATCATCACTGACTCTCAAACAAAGAACAATGGTACCAAAAAGCTTTCATTCTTGTCTTTCCTGCTGCTTCTCTGGGAAGTGCTCTAAAAGATAACTATATGAAGTATCAAATTATAATATTAAATAAAAAAGACCAACAGACTCGGGAGGGTTGCAAAAGGAAAACAGTTTGAAGGTTCAGATCAGAACAAAAATGACTGAGGACAAAGACACATAATCCTAATCATAAAAAGAGGTCAATACAATAATTGTTTCATTTGCTCTTTCTCCCCAAGACTAATTAGCATTATACACAATATGTGCCTTGTTACTAAGGTCTTCTTTCAGCTTTGGAACTACAGTATCTTTTGATTACCCCAAACTCTCATCTAGTTTTTCAGTTATATAGAAGCCAAACACTTCAGGCTAAATGAAAAAAGCAATTCATTTTTCTAAAACAGCTATCACAAGTGGATGCCACATGTATGCTATCTTCCATTTGTCAATCATCTCTTTAATAAGAGTATCTATCTATCTATCTATCTATTGTACTTACTGCTGAAAAGCCGCCATTGTATTCTCCAAATTTTCTCCAGCACCTGTGAAAATATTAAAATTTAGTAGATATTTTGAATATCATTTTTCTAGAAATGAATATAGTTAATGAATCCTGATGCTTACTTATTATGTAGGTTTATAGTGCAGATCTTTTTAAAAAGTATAAGGGTTTTTAAATTGTTTTTTAGCTTTACCAATAGGAATCAAAGATCAAAAACAGTATAGCACCAGCGAAGCGTGCACAAGGCCCTGGGTTTGACCCCCAACATCACCTAAATAAATAAATAAATAAATAAATAAATAAATAAATAAATAAATAAAAGGAAGCACAGTCACAGAAACCCAAGAGGATTAGGAAAATCTAAACATAATTTTTAGCTCTAGCATCTGTTTAAGGAAAGACAAGAGGATTTGGTACACATGCATCTCTTCCCTCTGTCCTCAGAGTCTTACACATATCGCTACTAAGGTAATTAACTTATCATAGTATAAATTATTTACTTGTCTCTCTCCTCCCTTACCCATGAATTGCTAAAATGAAGTGCTTGTTTTGTTTTGTTTAGTTTTCGGTACAGAGGATCAAACTCAGGACCCTGCACTTGTTCAGGCAGGTGCAGCGCCACTGAGCTATAACCCCAGCCATAGAAGTGGCTGTTTTAATCACCTTGTTTGAAAGCAGTATAGTGTAGTATTTGAGGATAAGACTACGGAGTTAGGATTCTTGGTCTCACTTTGGTTGTTAAGAGTTGACACACAATAGAAAACAGTTGCAGTAAATATGGAAGTTATTTTTGCAAAAGAATGTGCCCTTCTGAGGTTAGATGACCCTTGGCTAGATGAGGTTAACTAAGTTTTTACTCAAAAACTATGAAAATATGTTATAATTAAGCAATATTCAAGAACAATGCACTCTAGAATATTACCAAAAAGACACAAGTGCTAAAACGATTATTAGTAAGTTAAATTAAACTACTACTTGTGCCAAAAAGCAAGGAGTTAAAAGGACACATTCAGCCCGGCGTGGTGGCGCATGCCTGTAATCCCAACACTCAGGAGGATGAGGCAGGAGGATTGCTGTGAGTTCGAGACCACCTTGGGCTACATAGTGAGTTCCAGGTCAGACTCAACTACATAGTGAGACCCTGTCTCAAAAAACCAAAAAAAAGAGAGAGAGAGAAAAAAAGGACACAGAAGTCAGCACAGTGTCATTTCATTTGTTTTATTTGGATTTTGATTTTTTTGGTGGTCATTTCTGTTTTTTGTTTGTGGTACGGGGACTCAAATTCAGGGCCTCTCCCTTGCCAGGCAGGTGCTGCACAGCTGAACTATATCTCCTGCCCTTTATTTTATTTTGAAAGAGGGTCTTGCTATGTAGTTCAGGCTGGCCTTGAACTCACCATGTAGCCCAGACTGGCCTCAAACTCACAGCAATTCTCCTGCCTCAGCCTCCCAAGTGCTGGGATTATAGGCAGGCACCAACACACTTGGCTACAGTGTCAGGTTTTAAACCACAGGATAAAATAGGAAATTCTGAATCCTTCTTAATAATGGATTGAAAATCTGATGCAAAATTGGGTGCTCATGTAGTTTCAAAGTGCTCCTTCCAAAATTGTTAATTGTAAAGGAAGGAAAGGTAACATCACACTGGTAGAGCCTGGCAGTCACCACAGACAGCTGTCAGAGTCAGCATCATTAACTCCTTTGCTGACTTCAGCACCTTTTTTTTCATTAAGTTTATTGATATATTTTACATATGCAATATGATAACATTCATCATTGGTGTACCTGTACATGATATATTTTGGTTATTTTTTCCCTATTCCCCTGCCCTCCCTTCACTCCCTCCACCCTTCCTGATTTACAAAGAATTGTTTCCATTTTTTCCTTTTCTCATATTTTTTCTTTCCCCTACCCTTCCCACTTCCCCTACTCCTTTAGACCTTTTCTTCCTATTTCACATTATTAATTATACAACTTGAACCTATTTACACTTTTAGTTTTTCACACCAGAGAAACTATTCAGTATTTACATGTGTCATATTTATCTCACTTAAGAGTGAGGCTTTAAGGGCTGGGACTTTAGCTCAATGGTTCTGCCTCCTGCTTCACAAGCACAAGGTCCTGAGTTCGATCCCCAGTACAAATAAATAAACAAAGAGTATGGCCTCAGTGTGCATCCATTTAGCTATAAATGTCTCTAGCTTCTCATTCTTTATGGCTGAGTAGTACTCCATTTTATAGAAAAACCACATCTTGGGCCAATGATTTAGCTCAGTGGTTCTGCCATCTGCCTCGCAAGCACAAGGTCCTGAGTTAGATCCTGGGTACCAAAAAAGAAAGAAAAACCACATGTTCTTTACCTAGTCTCCAGTTGATGGCAATTGGGCTGTTTCCAAGTTTTAGTTACTACAGACTGTGCCACTATAAACATGGTTGAGCATATATCTCTGTGGTATGATTCTTTTGGAGAGATACTCAGCAGAGGGATAGCTGGGTCAAATGGAACCTCTAATCCTAGTTCTTTGAGGTATCTCCATATTGACTTCCACAGTGGTTGCACCAGTCTGCACTCCCACCAACAATGGAGAAGGGTTCCTTTCTCCCCACAACACCACGAGCATTTGTTATTGGTTGATTTCTTGACAGCAGTCATTCTTTCTGGGGTGAGGTAGAATTTCAGTGTTGTTTTCATCTGCATCTCTCGAATGACCAGTAATGCTGAACATGCTTCATATGTTTATTTGCTGCTTTTACTTCTTTGTCTGAGAAATGTCTGTTCATTTCAGATGCCCATTTTTGAATTCGGTCTTTAAATTTGGGGGGGTCTGGATTTTTTGAGTTCCTTATATATTTTAGATAGTAGATCTTTGTCTGAAGAACAGCAGGTAAAAATTTTTTTCCCACATTGTAGGGTGTCTCACAATTGTTGGTGGTTTCTCTTGCAGTGCAGAAGCTTTTTAATAAGATGAGATCCTGGCTTCACTGTCTTTTTTTTTTGAGACAGGGTCTCACTATGTAGTTTGAGACTGACCTGGAACTCACTATGTAGCCCAGGCTGGTCTCGAACTCACAGCAATCCGCCTGCCTCAGCCTCAGAGTGCTGGGATTAAAGGCATGTACCACCTCGCCAGGCCTTTCATTGTCTTTTTAATTTAACTTTTTCCCTAACAAACAGAAGTTTAACCTAACAAATCAAATTAAAAGTAGTTATCTCTAGGGCCAGGGATCTAGCTCAGTGGTTCCAGTGCCTACCTTGCAAGCCCAAAGACCCAAGTTTGATTCCTGGTACCAAAAAAAAAAAAAAAAGAGGGGTCGGCCAGGTGTGGTGGTACATGCCTATAATCCTAGCACTTGGGGGACTGAGGCAAGGGTATTGCTACAACTTTTAGGCCAGCCTTGGCTACACAGTGAGATTGTCTCAAAAGAAAAAAAACAAAAGAGGGCTCAATATAACATTCGACCTGCCTAGGTCACTCTCTTCATACACTCCCAGTCATTCTTTTTTTTCTTATACTGGGGATTAAACGTGGGACATTGCACTTGTGAGGCAGGCAGCAGCACCGCTGAGCTAATCCCTGGCCCCTCCCAATCATTCTTAACTTTAATTTGAAAGTTAGTTCCCTTCTCAACTCTTCCATAAAGCTCTTTTTTTTATCATTTTAGATTAAAATGATTCTTATTATATGTAAAGTTAAAGCCTTGAACTGGTGGTTCCCAATCATTTTAGGTCTCTGTACTCCTTTCTACTAAAAAATTACTGTGTCCCAAAGTACTTTTATTTATGTGGTTTAACTTCCATTAGTAATTATGTATTAGAAATTAAGCCCTAGAAATTTAAATTTTATTCTCTTATTTGAAAATAACAATAAACTCATTCCATGTTAAAATGACTGACAGTTTTATGAAAAAAATAGCTATTTCCTAAAACAAAAAAATTTAATGAAAAGATGATTCTGTTTTACATTTTTGCAAACCTCTTTAATGTCTGGCTTAATCAAAAGCAGGTAGATTCTTATACCTGCTTAATATATGTTTACCTTGGCACAGATAAGCAGTTGGAAAAGAAAGGCTCTTCTGTGCTTTTGTATCATGGGGCTGGAGGCGTAGCTCAATGCACAAGGTCCTGGGTTCAATCCCCAATAACACCAAAAAAAAAAATCATAAACCAAATAGAAAACGCTATATCATAATTCAACAACTGGTAGATTCTTCCTTCCTTTCTTTTTTGGAACTAGGGGTTGAACCTAAGAAGCAATGACCTATATCTCCAGTGCATTTTATTTAGACAGGGTGATGCCAAATTGCTCTGACTGGACTTGAATTTGTAATCCCCCTACCTCAGCCTACCTGGGATAACAGGAATGTGCCACCACACCCAGCAACAAATGGTAGTTTCTTTTTTTTTAGTACCAGGGATCGAACTCAGGATTTTGCGCTTGCGAGGCAGGCAGCGGAACCACTGAGCTAAATCCCAGCCCAACAAATGGTAGTTTCTTAAAAGTTGGTGACAGTGCAGTGTAGAATCTGAACCCTACTGATGACCTCCTCCTCCATTTTTAACATGACATTCCATGGGACCATCTTTAACTTTGAATGGATCTTTCACATATATGATTTTATGACATCATGCATTGGTCATCTAGAAAATACTGATTCACTGAATTATGTTGATCTGTTAAATGTTGACACATTGAGTTGCAAAGCTTTTTTTTCCCCCCCAGTACTGGGGACTAAACCCAGGTAGCACTGAGCTACATTCTAGCCCTTTTTTAGTTTTTGAGACAGGGTCTCACTAAGTTGCCCTGGCTGACCTCAAAATTGCAATCCTCTTTAGGGAATAGAGAGTATTAGCTTGGTATACAGGCATGTGCCAATATGCCATATTTTTATTTTTTATTTTTTATTTTGTTTTTGCTTTTTGGTACCAGGGATTGAACTTGGGACCTTGAAACTTGCGAAGCAGGCAGTGGAACCACTGAGCTAAATTCCCAGCCCTAGTAGCTTAGTGGCACATGCCTGTCATCCCAGCACTTGGGAGGCT